TAGTGGAAGTTACAGTGTTCTTCCTCTCTTCCGAAAGAGAAACCGAAGACGGAGAACGTACCAAAATAATCGGAAATAGTGAAAGCTAGAGTGTTCTTCCTTGTTCCGAGAGAGAAACCGAAGAGGGAGAACGTAATGGGAGACTGTCTCAGCGATACAGAGACAAATAAGGATAGTAAATGTCCACTGAAATGTCCAGAATTGAGAGCTATTCGTTCTTTTATTAGTAGTATAGATTAAAGTTCATTATTGCAAGCAAGCATTGGTTCCTGACCTTTTGTTTATTCAAGTCTATTATCCCGAACAATGACAAAGCATAAGCCCATAATTTTGGGGAATCCAAATTTTCTACTCACTTTCTCTACTCACACCATACCCACATTACACTCATCTCTTTGTTTATTGTTTTTACAAATTTTCTAAGTAAACCCTTGGTAAGAGTATCAATCAAGTTTTTACTTGACTTTACATATGTTATATTCATAATCTCATCCTAAATCAATTGTCTAATATATTCATGTTTCAAATTTATATGTTTGAACTTATCATTATAAGCACTATTGTGGTTTTTTGACAAAATTGTTTCATTATCACAATAGATGGATATTGGAGGCATAGAATTAAACAATAATTTTATTTCTAATAATAAGTTACTAATCCATTCAACATCTTTCCTAACAGCCACCAAGGCTATCAATTCGAATTTCACGATCGAGTGAGATATACAAGTTTGTCTCTTTAATTCCCAAGAAATTACACCCCCCACCCCCACCAAAGACAAAAATCCATTTAGAGGTGGACTTGTTATCTCCATTACTAATAATCAAGCTCACATTAGTATACATTTTTAGTACAACTGAATAATTGCAATAAACACAAGTAAAATTCCAATGTCCTTTTAGGGTACCCTAAGACTCCTAACTACATGCTAGGGTTATAGCCTAATCTTCGACTAATTGGGCTTATGCATTAAAAAAAAAACTTCAGTTTTAATAAAATGTTAGTCTTATGATGTATATTATGCAAGAAATTATACATGAAAACAAATTAGGCTGAATTTGGCTTGGCTTTGGGTGTATAGCCCGAAAAAAAGGGTATGGACTTTATTCTAAATCTTAGGTTAATTTGTTTGTCCTTTTATAAATGGAGATAAGACTTTTATTCTTATTTCTAAACAATGGGAAATGTGGGATAATACTCAATAGCTTTAGACTAGTAAATCTAGTATGTGTTGTCCTAAGTCCCACGTTTTTTAGGAATTAAATTGAAGACCTTGCCTAGGAAAACAATTTCCACATGTAACTTGACCCATATGCTACGTATGATATAAGTTAATTTTTTATATAAAAATATTTAATATAAAATAAAATATATTTATACATATGTAATATATGGTACATAGTTATAGGTGACCGTGCGCAATTTGAGACCTTAACGAGATGTCACCCCTTATGCCGAAGTGCCTACAGATCGGCCTTGCCGAGGTGGCAATTATATGCTCTTATGGCGTGCATGATGTATCCGAGGTGCATTGAGGTAGTTCCAAGGTGGACTCTATCATCTAAACAAAGGCAGGTTATTGCCTTATGTGGCGCAAAGGTGTTAAGCAACGGTTGAATGTGCCATGTGGCATGATGTCACCGGAGGGTCAAATTCCCTCTCAACATAAGGGAAACTTCATGTGCCCCCACCTCATAAATTTTTACTTTTTTTTGTATGGTTGGGAATGGTGAAAAGGGGTATTGATGCCAACTTAAGAGGGGTGATCTGGTGTATGTTATGCAAGAGTGTTGGAAGTTTTGAAACGTTGCGAGTGTTAGGTGGAGTTAAATTTTATGGAGTGTTGAATTTTGCTATTATACAACAAGTTAATGTTTCGATGTTTAAGAAATTTAGGTTGCCTTAGCTCATTCACATTTTTCTTTTCTCTATTATCTTTTTCTTGGATTAACAGAGCTGTTGTTCCTTTTTGCGAATTTGACCGCTTCCTCAGTAATAGCAAAATGTAAAGATGCGCACGTTGTCAATTTTGTGAACATCAATAGAAACTCGCCTCTACGATGAAAACCATCTCCGCAATAGAACTGCACCCACGCTTCATTGTTTCTAAAATTTTTTCTGTGCTTCTCAATGTGGTAGCCTGGGGAAGGGTGAGGTCCAAGACAACTGCTTACAAAACCAAAATGGTTTTTAGTTTCGAGTTCCGCCTAGAGGTGACCACCTCCACCCCAACTCTACATCTATGCTCAGATTAGATTGGAAATGCCACAATCTATTCAACAGACTTAAATTGGTCATTCCTACTTCAGGCATGAGAAACCTGATTCGTCGTTCTCTGTTTATCCCTTTTCTTCTCTTCTTGTTTTCCTCCTCTTCTCCGCTTTTGCAACTTCAACACCTCAGGATTCCCTGAACAGAGGATCCTCTTTGTCAGTTGAAGGTTATGCCTCGGATTTCCTTACCTCTCCAGACAAATGGTTCACCTATGGATTTTACCCTATTGGCACAAACCCGTCAACGGCCGATGCTCCAGAATTTTTTTTTTTGCACAAGGATGACACTATGGTTCTCATGGCTCTATCGTCTGGTCCACCAACAACACTAGCAACGGATTCAAAGCCGAGCTCCTCAACTCGGGGAATCTTGTCTTGAGAGACCGTCACGGTAACGTATCCTAGCGAAGCTTTGATTCTCTTTGATACTCTTCTCCCCTTACAGTCCCTTTGCGGGAAGAGGAGACATGTCTCTGCAAAGGCCAAAGGTCAATATTCGTCAAGCTATTACATTCTTTACGATGGCCAGACGTTCATTAGGAAGTTTTGGCTGCTCAGCGATTCAAACGTGTCAACCATCTGGCCAACTATGAAAACGAGGTTTTCACATTTACCGTCGATTTCAAATTCATGGCATGGAGACGGTGTGCAAGCCCATGAAGGCAAAGTTGTACCTCGCTGAGTCTTTGATTTGACTCATCCACCGTTCGATACCGCCGGTCTACGACATCTTTAATGTCGGTTGCTTCGTCATGGTAAGGAGCATCGATGGGGACGGTTTTGGTGGCGCCGGGTTTCTTCATCCGAAACCTTGACCAGGAGAGACGGCTCTTTCATCTCCAGCCACCGGAGCTGCTGTTACTTTTTGCTGGTTTCATGTCGTCCGAGTCGAGGACTCGACCTTAGAACCCAAAGTGATACATACAAATTCTTGTGAAGGCGAAAAGACTATTTTACTCTTTATTCTTCTTCAAATTTTCAAAATAAAATAAGAAAAAAGGAAAAGAAATGCTGAAATCAGTGGCTCTTAGTGATCTCACGGAGACTTGCTCTTATACACTCAGAAAGGAAGGCGAGACTACTGGCACTTACTCAAATCCATCCAGCAAGCGGAGGKGCAAGAGTAGGCTGAAAAGCAGCAAGCGAAGCGTATGATTCATAGTGGTAAGTAAACCTAAGCTATCACATCTTGGAACGGCAACGGGAAGGCCTTCTTTGTCACTTTCTTTGTTAAGTTCTCTAAAGTCTACGCAGATCAAACTCTTTTCGTTTTTATTAAGAGCAGCTATTGGGGATACCAAATAGCTCGTGCTAACTCTGAATATGATAGATAGATAGCAGCGTCAAGCATTCGTTGAATCTCCTTTTCCCCTTCAGCATCCTTGGTCTGTAAATGGAAAAGGAATAGGCTCTGACTTCGGTCACGGACCTGGATTAGGAATAGGCTTTGGATCCATAGGCCCTGGATATTCTATCGATGACTCCGGAATAGCATTTGTTGCCACCATTTTTCTGTGGGTCTCCACCGACTCGGAGAACGAAGGGGTTCAGTAATGGCATTGATCTTGCTGGGTTCGTCCTCGGAGAACGAAAGGGTACCAATGTTGGTTTCCATTATTGCCTCGGCCGTCCGACGACGACTATTTCATTCTCCGAGCTTCATACGTCTAAGATGAAAGTTGCAACGGAGCGGAAGTTACAGGTTGCAGACCGGTTTCAGACGGAAGTTGCAGCGGAGTGGAGCGGAAGTTGCAGCAGCGCTCCTCTGTTTTCGTTTGAAGGGGGTCATCGCCGCCGCCGCTACAATGGCGGATCTGAACACGGGCAATATGCCTTCTCGCTCTCACTTTCAATACCTCTCTCTCTTCCCCTCTCTCCCTCATCTTTCCGATCTTTTTTTCCACCCCTTTCCTTATTTATTTTTTGCATTTTGGATTATTGTTCAGCATCATCTTCAAACTCTCGAACTCGACCTACGTCACAGCTGCGGCAAACGGTAGATTCTCCGGCAGGCCGAAGAAGGGAGAAACCAAAGAGTGAGGCAGGGGGATGTCTAAGAATGGAGAGAGTGGGGGTTCAAGTATGAGGGGACGAGGGTAGAACTATTCAATTAATGGATGTTAACATGAAGTCACATATGCACAAATTGCAACGGAGCATTAATGGATAGGAATAGGAATAGTGTTAGTCAATTTTCAAACAGTAAAAATATATTTGAAAGAGTAAAATAGGTATTTTAAAAAAATAATATATTGGTCAAATGTTTTTTGTATAAGGGAGATTTGTGTTGAATTTTCCAAAAATTTAAGAAAGATTTTTGTTAAAAGTAAAACTTTAGGAAAGATTTTTATGATTGTCAGAATAAAATTTATATTTTATCCAAAATAAATAAGATGTTTATATGCTATATCTTTTAAAAATAAATATAGAATAGATGTTTATAATTGAAAGTTGAATCTTCATTTAATATTTTACCTTAGTTAGGGCCCTAAGCGCAAGCCCAAGCATCATTCAAAGTTGAGAGTCGAATTGTGATGTCCATGTGGGTACTCCCGCACGTCTGGCCTGGCCCAACCCAATCCCAGACCCGGACATATATTATTAAACTCAGGTGCAGTCCGGGTTGGGCCTAGACAGCCCTATACCATATCCTAGCAAAACCCGGACCGGGCCCGGCTCATGATCATCCCTAGTTATATAGTGGTGTTCGGGTCTAGGTATGGTGGTCCGGTCAGAAAACCGATCCTTCGACACCCCCCGCGTTCCATATTTAAGAGCAACCGACTAACTTCGCGCTGCCATTCATCCCTAAATCCACAGATGGGTAGAGGCAGAGAGTCGGACAACGACGACATCCCGCGAAGGCGGGACTCAAGGTTATCCTCAAGGGTGGAAATTCCAGAAGGGCGACGTCGCGCCGACCTGGAAAACGATCGCTACTCTCCTGATTCAGTTAGGTCTTTATCTCCTCGATACTCCTCCGACGATCGTCGTGGCCGTAGCGGTAGTCGTAGTCCGGTTAACGGTTACGGAAGATCTCGTTATGAATCAGATCGTCGCCGTGATCGAGCAGAATCCAACGGTCACGTAAACCCTAGGAGAAGCCCTAGGTCTGGTAACACGTCCCCCGAAGGTCGACGACTCGACCGTTACGACCGGAAGGATCGCGGTGCATCATTTCTCGATAGGGATTTCAGGAACGGACGGGTTCCAGAGTCGGATTCCGACGAGGAATTGAAGGGATTAAGCTACGAAGAGTATCGGAGGCTGAAGCGTCAGAAATTAAGAAAGAATATGAAGAATTGTATTTGGAATGTAACCCCTAGTCCTCCTTGGAGTGAGAGGGAGCAGTCGGAGGAGCCGCTGGATGAAGTGAAGGAAGCGGCAGATAAGATTACGGGTGATGGTAAAAATAGAGATGGAGATCGTGATAATGGAATTGGCCGTGGTAGGGTTTCTGAATCTGAAGAATCTGATAGTGGTTCATCGGGTACGGAACCGGATCCAGGGCCAGACACTGATGTCTCGAAGCCGAAGAGAAATAAGGGGAGAGGAAAGAGTGGTCGGCGGAAGGGTAAATCTTCAAGTTCTAGGAGGCGTAGAAGTAGGAAATCGGCTACTGATACGGAATCAGATGATGACATGAGCAACTCTGAGGGCTCTGAATATTCCACTGATGAAGATAGTAGAGATAGGAAGAAGTCAGGAAGAGGGAAGAGTAGGCGAGGGAAGAAGAGCAGCAGGCGTAGCAGAAAGCGAGGAAGAAGGAGGAAGAGTAGGGACAATGAATCTGATGAAAGCTTGAGTGAGGATAGTGGAAGTGAGGAATCTGATTCGAGCAGGGCCTCTGATGATCACACGAGATCCAAGAAGAGGGGACACGTCAAGCCTTCTCGTACAAAAAGGAGGAGGAGAAGGTCTGAATCGGACAGTGAGAGTTACACCGAGAATTCTGACTCAGATGCTGAAGAAAAAGGCATTGTGAAGGCAGATGACTCAAAGAAGACTGAAATTAATGCTGAGGTCCTCAAGTTCAAAGAGATGATTGAGGCGCATAAGAAACCTACTCTGGATAATGAGCTGTTTGTGGGACCTGTGCCGCTTCCAAAAGCTGAAGGTCATATTAGCTATGGAGGGGCTCTCAGGCCAGGTGAAGGTGATGCTATTGCTCAATACGTGCAGCAAGGAAAGCGTATTCCTCGAAGAGGAGAGGTGGGGCTTTCGGCTGAAGAAATTCAGAAGTTTGAAAGCCTTGGCTATGTGATGAGTGGTAGTAGGCATCAGAGAATGAATGCCATCCGTATTAGAAAAGAAAACCAGGTGTACAGTGCTGAGGACAAGCGGGCATTGGCAATGTTTAACTATGAGGAGAAGTCGAAACGTGAGCACAAGGTTATGGCTGATTTGCAGCGGTTGGTTCAACGCCATATTGGGCAGGATGTTGGTCCTACCCATGATCCTTTTGCAGCAAAAGGCTCCGAGGGTGCTGATGCATGATCCTCATGTACGTTTTACCATGTACTTTAATGTTCTTGCCAAATAATTATTAAGCTTTTTTACACATTTTAAGGAGAATGCATCAAAACTGTAGTAGTATATGTAGAATTTAAATTAAAAAGCGTTGTTCATATTCTCTCTCTCCCTCTCTCTCATACACGTGTTTATGTGAACTCCTTGGTTTTGTTTCCTTTTCAATGAAGAAACAGGATAGGATCACCTCCATAGAAAGCTGCTACTTTTCCCAATTAATAGTAGTTGAAATCTTAGTGCTAGGAAGTGGGAGATGGAGTTCCAAATTTCAAAAGCTACATCAATTATCAAAAAAAAAAAAATCAAAAGCTACATCAAAAGGAGGTGTTCTAAAGGCAATTGCTTCAACTATTTTTTGATTTCTAATTACTTGACCATTTTGGACATTCATATTTTAGTATTCTAATATATTTATTATATTAAGTAAAAGGTATACTAATGTTATTTATTTAATTCTTAGAAACTTTCTTTGGGAGCTGGGAGGGTTCAAAGGCAAAACCTGGTCCTATCTATGCCTCTATGCTGTGCTTCAGTGCCTCCGGGCATTTTCTTAGTGACTTGCTTGTAGGCACGTCTCTGGTGTTCTTTAAAACAATGATTTATTGCTTCTGGTCTTGATTTGGATTATGATCATTGACAAACTCTAGGGGAAGAAAGAGGGGAAGGGGGTTAGAGCTTATCCAGGTTCCCCTAATTGGCATTTTAATTGTGGCATTTTCTATGTCAAAACGTGCCATGCAATACCATTGTAAAGGATGAGAATGGAATGGAATCCAAAGTGTGGGACGGAGGTGTTCAAATGGTGCAATGTCTTATGGTCAGGGTTTTGATGCTTTCTAAAAGTATGAATTCCATCTCAAAGGAAAAAGAAAAAAAGAAAATTTAGTTCATAGGTCTTGCAGGAAGGAGGGGAAACAAGCATGAGAGTGATGGGCAATCATTTTCTTACATTGGTAGACAAACAATCATTTTTTGATAATAAAAGAAAATTTCAATAAAATAAGAATGGTAGAAGATAAGGCAACAATAAAAAAGAGGTACCGAGAGGCAACTACAATGAATGTGCCAGTTAGCTTGCTGCTAAAGTCTCTAGCTGGTGTAACAGAGACATGGGATTTTGTCCTGCCTTCACCAGGGTTGGGAAGTCTACAATTTGGGGAGATCTACCCCTGTTGTGTAGCCCATTTTTCTACCGGAAAAACGAGGCAACTACTATAATAACAATCCAACAATACTTTCCTTCGACAAGTGCCAACCAAAACGACTAAAATCTACAGCCCCGTTCTAAATCAAAACCCTGTAGAAAACTTGGCCCGCTAATGATTAGCAAAACCTCCATTAACTAGAACACAAATAACAACAAACAATTCTCCTTCACCAGAGAATTCTCCCCTTCCTCCCTGAAATAAGTAGAAAGAATTGTAGTAGAGAGGGGAAAAGACAGAATCTTGAATGTAACAGAAAAGAAGGGTGAAAAACTGAAAGCAATTAACCTCTCCTAACAGGTTGGCTCAATATTTATATTAAGTATAATTATCTAGGTTTACAATAATGCCCCTGTTTAGTAAAAAATAAGGACAGGAACACTCATAATAAAAGAATAGAAAAGATACTACTATCCTACCAATGAATGAACTCTAATATCTTGCCACCGAATGAACTCTAATATACCATATAAACAGTATACAAAACATGCCCAAATCTGTCTATAACTACTACTCCTCCCTCAAGTTAGGGAATGTGTATCATTTAACCCCAGCTTGGTTGTGATAAAATCCATCCTTGCTTTGTACAATTCTTTAGTGAAAAGATCTGCAGTTGATCCTCTGATTTAACATAAGGAATTACAACATCTCCATCTTGCACCTTCTCATGAACAAAGGGACATTCTACTTCAATATCTTCAGTTCTTTAATTAACACAAGATTTGATGCAATGTGTATAGCAGCTTGATAATCATAGTGTTTATTCATTGGACGTTTTAGTGAGAACCCTATCTCTTGGCATGTTTAATCTACATCACTTCACAAGTGGTTTGTCTCATAGCTCGTATTCAGCTTAACTAGACTCAGCCATGACATTTTATTTCTTACTTTTCCAAGAGACTAGGTTTCTCTAAGAAAAAATGCAATGTCCTATTGTACATCTCCAAACAGATGGTGAACCTGAAGGGATGGGAGATTCATCATATGGATGGCCGAACCATGCAGGGTGACTGGGCGAAATTTCAAAAATTTTTTTCTCCCATTCGGGAATCCTATTCCCTGATTAAAAAAAAAACTGCATTTTTCAAGGTTCGTTCTTGAAACAAACCGGACCAAATCTGAAACCAAGATTGGGGAAAGGGTAGTACCTGATACGGAATCAATGTAAAACTCCCAACGTTCACGCCCAAAGAGGTTACCAAATTCGCCTCCATTGAAGATGACACAGCGAATGTTGAGGCAGGATCAGCAAGAAGGGTTCTTCAGCAAGAACTTGTGATTCTTTAGCAAGAATCGTGTAGGGTTGTATGAGCACGACTTTAGATTGTTTCTTCACCAAGAAACACTATCAAGAACAGTTCTTAATCACTCCAAGAGGTGGAGAACAAACTAGGTAGGACGGCAAGAGCAGAGGAAGAAAAAGATTGTAGAGAATAAATGATCTTTCTGTGGAATTCGCCCCCTTATTTATAATCTTCTCTGGATCAACTTTCCAATCCAATTAGGAATGAATTTCTTGATCCAAATATGATATTTGGATCTAGACTCTCAAGTTATCTTATCCAATTGCTAATCCTAATAAGGTTGTAAACCCAAATTCGCCCATTTAATTAAATCACTTAAGCCCAGTTCAAAATGGGCCATAGGCCCATTGAGTCGTTGTGCTCACTTTACCCTTTAAATGTTGGCTAGTTTAGCTCTCTTTATATGGTGTGGGACCCTAGCATTGATCTACACATCAGTCACATGGGTTCAACCCAACCTTTGTTACAAGGCCTGGCCAAATACATTGCAGAACACAGTGAACCCCTGAGTCCATTTGTATGGGCTCTTAATGGGCCCAACATTTACACTAAATGGTCCTTGGGTCCAGCCACCTTATGAAGGCCCGCAGATGCAAGATTAGCCCATTAGGTATAATCCTCAATGGTCTTACACTTAACCTCTCAGTCCATAATAATCAAACACTGCCCGACAAGAGAGGACTTCTCCCTCAGCTGCAAGGTACAGTGTTGCACTCTCTACTCACATGGATCCTGTGAATTAAAACCTTTTGCAAACATTTTGTGAAACCATAATATATATATATATCTCTATATAAATATATTTTGCAAAACAAACCTCAATAAGTTTGAAATTAATTGCCGGCAGTTTTAGGTTTCCATCAGAGAGAGTGCATTTCCTGATCAATCACTTTGTTTGATAAAGGGGCTGATCCTATCACTATGATCACCCACTCAGGTGAATTATCGAACTATCCCAACATACCCAGGTTTTGACCCGGTTAAGGATCTCACTGATTGGGACAGCCCAATCCGGCACCTAGTGTAGTACCATTATCGAGTCTAGGGGTCAGGTGTAACATTCCAGTTTTGCCCATCTGTCTCCAAGGTCCAGGGCAATACTGGAATTTGGTTTGGTTCAGGGTTTCAAGAAAACCCACACTACATGTGCTTTGGGTCTTACCCTGGTCACTTGAGACCAGTCACTCCAACCTTCTTGGCAGCACGTTAGTGTCAACCTTGGCAAGATAAACCTTCCCAGGTTTATTCAACGGCTGTGAAGATTCTAAATTAACACGAGTCTCATTAGTGTCCTGTTTAAGGGTATTACACAGAAACACACCAAAATAACTTGAATCAATTATGCACTTTATTCATTTACAATAATTGCCAATAAGTACATCAATTTGATTGGAGCTAAGGGCATAATTGTCTAATAGAACCACCCTAGTCTGTAGGTAGATGCTTATGATCTCTATATGTTGGTTCACCTTCTAGAGATCCCTTTAGATATACAATATCCTATAGATTACCTCTGAATGTGGAACTCTAAGAAATTCCATGAATTGGCTAACCACACTAACTGCAAATGAGATATATGGGCATGTAGAGAATAGATTGGTCCAGAGGAAGTAGTGAATAACTGAATATAGAGGTGGAAGCAAGTAAGATCCTGGGGCTATCTTTCTTGGGGGTGAAAAGTTTGCAAGAGGGTGTATAGATAGTTGGAGTTGGAGGAGAGAGAAAGGAAATGGGATAATTTCATTAAGGAATCAGAAGGTTTCAACTTAGAAGCAGACTAACAGAGGAGTTTCAAAAATAAAATATAATCAAATCAAATCATTTGGATTGGTGGGGGCTGCAGCAGAACAAGTTAGCGGACAGAAGGATTTTGAATATTTTGAGAGGAATTGGAATTGGAAAGGATTAATAAAGGTCAAGAAATCCAAAAAAGTTCTGAAGAGAAGTTAGGAGGTTTCTGAATATCTTATGTTGTGGGGTTTAGTTATGTCTTGGTGGTGGGGCTGTCCATTAAGTCTGTTGGGCTGTTTAGTTTTAATTCCTGTTCTGGGGTTTGGTTGTAAGGAGTTGATTTGTTTTTGAGTTCTCTTCTCTCAGGTGACTTTTGGGTGTGTAGTAGTGATGTAGTATAGCTTGCCAACCAATCTCTTGTACTTGCCTAGATCATCAATTAGCTCCCTTGATCTGGAGTAATCCTAGTATTAGGATCCATAGGTGATGTAGTAGCCTTGGCCCTTAACATCCCTGTTCCTCCAACAAATCTAGCACATACTTCCTCTGTGATAGGCATAAATATCTCAGTTTTAGAGCGAGTAACCTCAATGGTCAATACCCAAGGAATGCCACAACTTATTGAGATCCTTAGTGTGGAATTGATTCTACAAGGAAGTCTTCAATTCTCCAATACCCTTTTCATCATTTCCTAGTTCCTATAATTACAATATCATCCACATGTACAACTAGAA